TGATGCGGCGCACGAGGTAGGAAGGATCGATTCGCGACTCTTGACTTTGACTTGTAATTCAACGATACGAATCGGAAGGGGAACAATACGCTTTATGTATTTCTTCTTCAATTTTCTTCCCCCTTTACTTCTTATCGCGCACTGTTACCTGAACTTCAGACTTGACGCTCGCGATATTCTCCCGTGACGAAATGAGCGCCTCGAAGTGAAACGGATTATTCGAGAGAAAAACGCAAGACGCTGAAATAGCTCGAAGTAACGCGAAGCTTGTGACGTGTCCGTTCGCTCCTCTCGTCGCTAATTCGCGCAGTACGTTCGTTTCTCGCTGTTACTACGCGATTCCGACCTGAATGGGAATGCAACATCGATAAATGCTGCGTCGGTAAACGTGCCCTCGTTGGCAGGGGATTACAACGCGAAACGCGGTCCCGCGAGCTCACGCCGAGAGCGATGCGCAGCTCGCGATCAGCGCGATAGCCGGTGCGAGGTCTTTTGTTCGACGTAACGAATACCTGGAAGGATATTATCGAGAAGCTACACCAGACAAATTGGCGCGAGATCGGATCGACAGCGAAGAAACCCGCCGGCTCGACCGGCAGGACTCGATAACGGAAGGAGGACACCGTCGTAATGAGCGTATTTTCAGATTATCTTTCGTTAAGGAACCGTTTGGACACGTTACTAATGTGTATGTGTCAAGGACAGGCGGCGTTGTCGAGGACCACCGACGCTATTCATTCGCGCGAGGGAATATTTACGCGAGGCATAAAACAAACGCGAGGAATATTTCCTCCGTTCGAGCGAGGCTTCTATTATTAGCGGTCCTCACGGCCTCCTCCTCTCTCTTTCTCGACTTCACCGAGAGTTTCTTTAAATCGCGGAAAAATTCAGTCATTCTTCAAACTCGCGTTCCCGCGCTTGCGTAAGATCGAGAAAACAGCGTTCCTGTAACTCAAGTTCTCGTAACAGGGGAATTGAGCCACACATCCGCCTTGATAAGAAATTCCACCTTGCTACATTCCGCGAGATAACTCGAAATGTCACCGGGAGCGAACCAGGAAAGAAAACTGCGTTCATTGCGGGGCCCGTTTATCGCGGGCGTAAAAAGATCTCTCGTCTCGCGACGGGGGAATTATGTAAATCGCGATCGAGATCTCTAATGCGCGGATTCGTTCGCGGAATCGCCGATTTTCCCACGTCAACGCGTACACGCGACGGCTGAAGACGAACGAAAAAGGCGCGCGTTTTCTCCTTCCCGGAGGGAGAAACGCGAGAATTCTATTGTCAACTGCGACGGAGACACAAAATACCGACCGACCGACCGACCGAGGCAGCGTTGCTTCAGTCAGCCGAGAAAAAGACCCGAGCGAATCGGGTAAACGAGCGAGCAATTACCGCCGCGCGACAATTGGATTCTCACGAGAAGAAGCCGGGCGAGTGTTCAGCGACGGGAAAACGAAGCCAGAGAGACGAGAGGCCGAGGTATTCGCGCGTTGACGCGCGGATTTCGAGAAACAAACACGAAATTGCCGAGAAAAAGAGAGAGAGAGAGAGCTCCAGCGGCAATATTCGTCGCGGAAATCTCGTCGAAGACACACACGCGACTATTGGAACGGCATTAACATGTTATCGCGCGTGTCCTCGTCGTCGTTGCGTCCCTTTCTCTTCATTAGGCGACAAAAAAAATTCTCCTCTCTCGAACCTCGCTTTGTGACTTATTTTAATCGACTGTGCGTCGCTTCGGCAAGCAGCTCACGGCCGAAAAACAAACTTCTCTTTGTTCCGCGCGCCGAGTACAAAACGGAAAACGAAGGGCATTTGAATCGCAGATTGTGCGTTATCTCGCCGGAATAATGGTCGTTTAATCAAACTTTCCCCGCCGAATCTGCAATTAAACCCGGCATTGATATATGTCGGGGTCGTCCGCGAGCACGATAAACTCAAGACCTTCTCGCGAGCACGCTCGCGTTCATCGCTCTTTCTCGTTTCATTTCGCTGCAAGTTACTCCTCATTGCGATCGCATCTCTCTCTCTCTCTCTCTCTCTCTCTCTCTCTTAGGCTCGACCGTAAAAGTCTCGTTCGGCAACTTCTTCCCACATCGCGATTGGTAGTGTAAAATTGTTTTGTCTCGTGTAAGTAATGATACGATAAAAATTAACCCTGACAATACCATGTTAGGCCTATAACGTGTTTTCTTTCGCTTATTCCCTCTTCCACGCTCCTCTTTCGCAAAGACGATTAAAAATAAAATTGGTAATAAATTTATCAAGTAATTCATAAAAGACGAGAAATGGTACGACAGCCGTGATTTCTCTACATTTCTTCGTGATGTAGAGACCTATTATGTTACTTTAGAGAGATCGCGGGTATTATTCTCAGGTTTGAGGAAGAGTACGAAAATCAATTCGTAACGCGAGGATCCCCCGTGTACGTAGAAAAAGTTTCCTCGGATTTAGTGTATACATTTGTTTTGCTTGAGTTTATTTAACGTTTCGCGAAACCAAACGATCTCGTTTGTCAAATCATTCATTTGCTTCAATTTCCGAGGACAAACTTGTCACGATTTATAAAAAAAGTCTTATTAAACCCATAGAAATCTTTCTCTCTCTTTCTCTCTGTATACTTGGCGAGCGAGCGGGTTATAAATTTATCACGCGACAAAAAGACTTCCGATTTGAATTTACGAAGTTCCACGAGCAACGAGCTGCTCGGCAGCGCTCGCGATTTGTATGTTAAATACACGCTCGTAACGTGCGTAACCGGATTCGTCGAACTGCTAAAAGGACCAATTATAATGCTGGACGGGAATATTGTTAGTTAATAGACAGATGACTATGATTAACAGCTCCTAAGCGACGACGTTGGCGCGACCCGGTCACTTCTTGCTTCCGGCGGTGCAAAATCGCGCTACCGACGTTCGCGACAACTGAATTAATGCGCGCGATAGCGACGCTCGATTGAACACAAATGAATTCACGTGAGTGACGAGAAGGTGTTTCCAGGAGGCGTTTCACGTCCGAGAATGCGGCTCGCCGCAGCTCGCCGAAGAGAGGCAGAGAAAGAGAGAGAGAGAGAGACGAGAAATCGATCGCCGCGCGGTGTGAATTATGCGAGTAAATGCCGTGCGCGTAATTTCCAATTAACGCGTCAACGCGGGAGTCCTGCGACAGCAACCTTCCTTCGCGCGTCCAACGAGATACTGGTAATCCCTAATAATCGATCACCGTCTGATCGGCCAAGCGCAATGAGCTAATTTCTGTCGCGATGCAGTGTGTGTGTGTGTGTATGCGCGCGTATACGTGTTTATCGCGGCCCGATTATATTCGATGCAGCAGCAGCGTCCGCGCGCGCACGCGATAAAAATACATATACAATGACGCGTTCTCCGTGCGATCGATTCCCTCTCTCTCTCTCTCTCTTTGCGAGAAACTTTCCAGCTGCAAAAAATATTGGACGTTACGATGAAAAAAAAAGAAATGGCACACCACGTTGTGGAATAAAATAAAACGAAACAGGTATCTTATCGCAGGTAACTTCGGCCGAGCCGATTTTGTCGACATTGTGTAAGATTAAGTTAATTAACAGCCGTATGCGCGATTAGACGCGTTCGCGAGAGATACGGGAGAAGAGTTTTACGTCCGCGGGACTCGGANGGGGGGGGGGGGGGAGGGTTACGCGTGTAAACAAATTTCCCGGCCGACACGCTCCTGCGCAAAATCGTCTGACTCACCGAGTGAGTATCGGTTTCTCTTCCGCTCGTCTACTCAGCACCGTCTTTTTCCGGGAAATCTATTAGTCCAGATTAGAAACATCGTCACTCACAGGAGCACAAATTATTGAGAAGCGAACAAAGAGCCGAATCACCCGGGGAGCGGGAGGAGGGGAAGCGTAAGAGGAAAAACTCGAATGCCGCGGGAGACGCGCGTAATATCGCGTAAGGGTAATGAACAGTCTCGTACTAATTACGCCCGTTCTCGGCGTGAGGCGCAACCGTGGCATTATACGGGTTATATAAACCGTTAATTCTTATCCGGGCGCGCGAGCACGGCAGCACTTCCGTCTATCCGTTCTTTCGTTCGCTTTTAACTCGCGCGGTACTCGCCACCGTGAAAAGCTCCGGAGGAAGAGAGATAGATAGGGAGGGGAGGGGGGGGGGGAGAAAAGGAGGGATTACTCTACCGTAAGGCGGCTTAAAATCATTACGGTAACTAATAACGCGGAACGTTTTCGGCCACGCTCGGGAATCCGGTTTTCTGCCTTACCCGACCGTGTGTAATCGCGCGCGTGCTCGAAGAGCATTTCTGCATGCTCGTTTCGCGAGAGAGAGAGAGAGAGAGAAAATAAATTCAGCCCGTGGAAACGATAAAAAATAAATAAACGGGCGCAAAGCTGCATAATCACCTGCATAAATAATTCGTTAAAAAAGTTACCGCGTGTAGATTTATCGGAATTAACGCGCGCGCCCCCGCGAGATCGCCTCGCACGCGAAGCGTTTTCACTCGCGTTCGCGAAGACGACGGGGAGAGGAGAGGAGGGGGAGGAAACGCGATAGTTTCTCGCGTCGTCGGTGTCGCGAAATTCGAGCGTCATTGAAAAGCCGCGTGAAACGGCGTGTGATGTAACGCAAAATCGCCGCGCGCCGCTCTGTCTAAATTTGTTTGTTCTTCTCGTTAGCTTAAGGCTGCCGGAGCGGCGACGTCGCCGCGTCGCGAGGTCGACAACGCGCGAACAACGGCGGAGCTTCTTTGCGCGGACGTGTGTGTCTTCACCGTTGTGCATCGGTGAGAACTCGCGCTCTCCGGGTTTTCGACGGCGCTGCTGCGGGATTTCGAGTTATCTACCACTTTACGTATCGCACGGCGGCGATACGTCGCGGACTTCTCTCTCTCTCTCTCTTTCTTTCTCGCTTCGCGTTATCTGCCATTTCACGTATCGCGAGCTCTCCTCTCTTCTCGGCCCGACGACCGAAGCTGTTAATAATGTACGGAACGATTCTTACGTCGTTTCACGAGCGTTATCGCGCTCGTAACGGGACCCCGTCGCCGTAATTACTCCTCGAAATTCCCACACCTAATGTCGTCACACATACAGGGACACACGGTACACACACAGAGAAACACAGAAATGATTCACCTCCCTGGCTACTCGGGCCGGCTTTCAGAGCGCGCGATCGACGAAAGCAGCTATCGACATTATCACCATTATCACAGCTTACACTGTAATCACCAGCGCACACAGGTCGCGTAGGAGAGGGCGAGACTCCGTGAAAATTCCCAGGCGCGACTTGCCGTGTGCGTGTGCGTCTATACTCCCGTGAACGCGCGTCGGTCGTTACTCACTCCGCGGCAACTTTCCCGATAGGTTTCTCTCTCCTTCGCACGACTCGCACGGATCTCACATTGTTATCGTCCCTCGCTGATAATGCGCTCGGGCGCGATCGCGAGGCGCTTCGTTCGCGAGAGTCCAAGGCGCAATCGTTCTCGGGGAGGAGAGGCAGAGAGCGATTCCGAGCGCGCGAGCAGCGTCGAAAAGCCGCGCGTCGTCGTTATTAACCGTCGGGAGGAAAGTTACTTGAGAGACGCGATGCGGCGTGGCGAAGCAGCGCGCGAGGCGTACACACTCGTGACACGCGCTGACGCACGCGAGACGTCACTGAGACGAAGCGTGTGGAGGCGCGCGCTCGAGTTCGGCTCGCCCGACTCGGCTCAGCTCGGCTCGGTTCGGCACGGCTCAGCTGGTCGTGGCGGCACGAGCGAGCGAGCGACGCTTTATCCGGTCGACTGTCAGCGGAGAGCGGCTCGGCACGGCGTGGAGCAGCTCCCAAGTGGCGGCGGCGGCGGCTCGCTTGAACGCATGCGGCGACAATAAACCGTACTGCAGCATACCGCCGGCGGAAACGAGCCCGCCGCTTCGGCCTCGTGCACGCTCGCGCGCGTTCGGAGCGCCCTATCGTCGAACGAGCTCAAAGTGCAAGTGCTGATAGCAGTGGCGTACGCTTCAACCGCGGCGCCCGGTCAAGGAGGTTCCGCGGCCTGGGTGTCGTATTTTCAGCGCGTCGAGCGGCCCGGCTCGTGAATTTAGTATTTATCCGGCGAAAATTACGTTACTCTGCACTGATTTCATTGGCCGAGTAATCAATGTTAATTCGAGACGAAAAGTCGAGGTGAATATATCACTGTAGTTTTTCGTCGAAAAATCTTATTTTCAGTTTGGAAAATGTTCCAAATAGATGTTAAAAATAGCACGCTAACATCAAGAAACATATATCTAAGAAGGTGTCAATTTCAGGTGCAAATGTCTCAGCTCTCGGATGGTCAATTTTTCTCTAATTGCACGAGCGGTTAGAAAGAACTGGGCTTCACCGTATAAAAGCATTTACAACTCTGTGCAGGCAATAAGATGTAAATTTGGCAGAAAGAAATATAGCTATAGTCGGCATTTTGTTATTCCATTGAGAATACATTGAGGAAACAGAAAGAGAGAGAGAGAAGTTGCGTAGACTTAAAGGATATAATATGACGAGAAATGTATAGTGTGATAATACACCGATTAGATACGACAAACATAGAAAAATATCGAACTGTAAACACGTGTAATTTATATTTCAAACTATCATCGAGCTTAGGTTCAACGAGCCGTGCGGGGGAGCTTACCGAAGAGACGAGAAAACTCCGAAGCTATCCCGAGCTAGGTGAGAGAGTGTTAGTACGCGTGTCTCGTGATTTACGATGTATACGCGCCGTATTATTGTTCAGCTCGTCGTTCTTAGGAGACCCAGCTCCGACACGCAAACAAACAAGATCCCGTATGACTGAATCTCCGCGAGTTGGATATCTGTCTTCACGGCGACTCCGGGATCCTCGGATCGTCTTCACGTCGTTTATTGATCGTTCGAGTATCTTGAACGTACAAATAATAATCCTCCGCGAGTATTCCCACGAGAAAGATAGCGCGTGAAATGAGACGACGCTAACGCGAGCGATCTGAAGAATTTCGCGCGACTTCGTCACACGTACTGACAAAATGTTGAAATACCTTAAACGGCCGGACTAACAGTTTCCTCATACGCTTAAAGCGACTATCCATCCGAACAAAAGCGAGAATACTCCATCATCAAACTCTCCTCGCAGCGACGGCGCGAAGTACGTTCGAGCAAGCGTTCGTCGCCGAGCTACGCGCTCTCGGTTCCGGATTAACCGGGCCTTCCTTCGGACTCTCGATCAGCGTTTTCAGCGTTGGAGAATGCTGTCCTCGGAGCATCCGCGCAGAAGCGTTCGTCGAGGAACTATCCCCGCTCGCTGGCCGAAGAATTTCCCGGCTCGTTAACTCGTCTCATTTTCACTTCGCGATCCCCCCAGCGATAATCCTGGCGCTCCGGATCAGCGGCAGCGATCGCTCGGCGTTTCCAAACTGCAGTGTCGGAGAGGAACGCGCGAACGGAGAGTCGCGAAATTCCGACGAAGATCGACGCGGAAGGCACTTTCTCCCTGCGACCTTCCTCGCAAGCATGGCGCAGCTTAATTGACGAAAATCGCGTCGCCGATCGCGCGATCGATGGCCGGTTCCCCGACCTCGAAGAAACCGGAGTCTCGCGGGAGACTGATCGGCCAGCTGGAGAGCTCCTCGAGCTGCGCTCGCGAGACGCGCGCGCGTGTTGCTTTATTATCCCGGGAGCTGCGAGGGCGACCTTCGTGCTCGAATCGTTTGGAATCGATCGATCGGAACGCCGATCGCGAAACAAATCGCCGAGTGGCGCGCTCGAGGATGGGCCGGGTTAAGAGGATAATCACGACGATGTCCCGTTCAGCGCTTTATCGCTATTCCCGCTACTTATCGCCCGATCCCTTCGATTCTGAATTGTTTTCGAATATCGAATATAAGGCCGAGATGCAGCAGCGTACTCTCTCTCTCTCTCTCCCTTTCCCCTACCCCCTCCGTCCCTCTATCATCTATCGGGGATCGTTACCCGACGACTCCGGAAATGAGCCTAGGGATTCTTGGTGTGTAAATACGGACCAGGATGAGCGGCAATGAGATTGGACTCCGGGAAAGCAGATATCGGTTCTCACGAAGCGGAGCGTGTATTACCGGTTGATTGTAAAGCGACGAATTCAACGATTAGATTAGGATTAACGGATCCTTCCGTTCCTGCTTCGCGTGCCGATAACGCGCTCCCCCCTTCGGGTGCGCGACCTGTCCGCCCGAATTTTTCGTCGAGTTCGCGCAACCCCGGAGGGTCAATAAAACCCGACGAGAAACGACGGGTAAAAATAAATGAGCGCGGGACGAATCGGTTTTGAATTCAGAAACCGTTGAGACGCAAGGAAGTGTGACCATTCGGCGGTGCCGACGAGTCTCTCTCTCGGCGCCGTTACGCTCAGAAAAGTACGAAGAAAGAAATAACGTTTCTCTTTTTAGCCTCGCGCGCGTCTCTCGAAGATCACCGACTCGGATCTTCCGACCGGCGAAGGCTAGATGTAGATAAACGCGAGAGTGATAACCGTAAATCGTTACCCGCGACGAGCATTAAAAATAATCATCGAGTTATAGGAATAACGCGAAATCGTACGAGGAGATCACATTCTACGACACAATAATATTCTCCCCACCTTTTCCACGTTGAGAAAAAGTGCTTAAAAATTTACTTGTGAAGAGCATATAATGTTTATTTCAGAGAAATAATATTTATTGTTATAATAAATATAATAAACATGACAAGAGGCCAAGAATATTATTATTATGATAAATATTATTTCTGTGAAATAAATCTTATATCTCCGATAAATAAGTTCTTAAGTATTTTTTTTTTATCATTTCCTTTACCCACGACGACTAAGATATACGATGTACCGATAAGTTATAATATTTTTGTTATATACTTTCAGTATATCGACTTAATAAAATCCCTTTTTTGACGTGTCGGGTTATAACGGAGCAGTTATAAGTTATGGGGAGAGTATCCTTACTTAGAGATTACGTATTGAGGTTAATCTCTTGCGACCTAACCTTTCTTCCTTATTAATCTTCCTTCTCTCACTTCCTTACTCGCTCGCCGCATGTACCACCGTACAAAGAAAATGGTAGACTTTCGACATATCGAATTCACTTGCACTTTACCATTTATATTTACATTCTACAACCAAAATTATTTTTCACCTCTGTTCATTACAAATACTGAGTAATCAAAAATAGCAAAGCTTCTGTGGATCCAAGCGACGCACACACGCGACGACCCGGCGACAAAAAGTCCCGCGCGAAAATTCACTTGCGCGCGACTAATTTCGCGATTATATTTGCCCCCCGTGCGTTAGTAAGTTGACGACGAGCCCCAACGACGTGGGATAATAAAGAAGACGGATTTAACGCGCCCGGCGGAGCCCTGTCGCGCTTATCGCGCCCCGCCACGTAAAGTCGAGGACGTAATTCGGCCGGGAGAGAGCGCGGATTAGCGCACACCCGGCGGGCAGTCGTGCGATCATTTTTCTTTTTTTTCCCCTTACAGGCCGGTAGTTTCGCGGACACAGGTGAGATAAGATCGCCGGTCTCGCGGAGAAGTCGGACTCGCTGAACCGTGGAAGGGGCAACGAGCGATCCGCTCTCGCGCGAGTCGACGGCGGAAGCGGCGTACGCTTACAGGAGGATCATCGGCGATCCCCGGCTTTTTTTATCGGCCTCTTCCCCGGGCCGTTGGACCACCCGTGGTATGCGCGTTGATTAGCTGCTCCCGGCCGCGTTCCACCTCGTCCGATGTAGAAGATCCGGAATGGAATAGAGGGGGAGAGAGAGAGAGAGGGAGAACGTTAACAGTCGATCTGGAAATAGCTCGGCGACGCTTTTATGACATAAACGATCGCAGGTGGTCTATTTTCATCTCGCCTTTCGGTCTATTTTATTTCTCGCGGGCCCACTTTAGCCTCGGGCGATCCCTCGTACACAAGCGAGTCACGCTTACTCTCCTCCCGCCGGCGTTTAAGGTGGTGGTAGCGTAAAATGAGTTTCTTTTTTTTTTTTCTTAAGAATTCCTTGAAGCTTGCACTAAATATGTAGACTTAAATATGACCTAATTATTGGCGCAATCAGAAGTA